ATAGAATAGAATAGAATAGAATAGAATAGAATAGAATAGAATAGAATTCTTTATTGGCCAAGTGTGATTGGGCACACAAGGAATTTGTCTTGGTGTAAATACTCTCAGTACACATAAAAGAAAAGATACATTCATCAAGAGTCAAGAATCATAAGGTACAACACTAAATGATAGTCATAGGCTACAATAAGCAATCAAATCATACTAGGAAACAGTCAATATAAATTGTAAGGACACAAGCGACAAAGTTACAGTCATACAGTAACAAGTGGGAGGGGATGGGCGATAAGGAGTAATGAGAATATTAATAGTAATAGTAGTGCAGACTTTGTAAATAGTTGGACAATGTTGAGGGAATTATTCGTTTAGCAGAGTGATGGCGTTCGGGGAAAAACTGTCCTTGTGTCTAGTTGTTCTGGTGTGCAGTGCTCTATAGTGTAATTTTGAGGGTAGGAGTTGAAACAGTTTATGTCCAGGATGTGAGGGGTCTGTAAATATTTTCACAGCCCTCTTTTTGACTTGTGCAGTATACAGGTCCTCGATTAAAGCCAGGTTGGTAGTAATTGTTTTATGGCTGAGATAATTGGTAGTGATTGCAGGCAGCCATTTCCCCAAAGCTTCTCACACACAGCAAGGTGGCCAAGCAGCAAGCTGAAGCATGGGCCTGCATATCATGGTCAATAGACTCCCTTTAACAAATGGCTTGAGGCCAACTAGCATCAGTCAGCACAGGTGAAGGGAGGCAGGTGAAGATGATGAAGGACTCAGTGGGGTGTGTGTGTCATAAATGTGGGCCAGTCACCAACCACCCAAATTTGATCATGTGACCAAGGGATTGCTGTGACAGCTAGAACTTTGAGGACCGGTTGTAAGTTCATTTTTTTCAACACTGTTGTAACTTTGAACAGTCACTGAACAAATGGACATAACCTGAGGACTACTTGGGACTACCTGTATTTTAGTCATTATCATTATTCTGGTTGGGATTTCTCATGTTTGTTTCTTTAGCCCAGTTTGTAGTTTGTTTTAAAAACTAGAAATCCCTAAATCATTATAATCAAGGGATACATTTAATAATAGTGTTCCTTAAATGCTTATATCACATAAGACACTGTACAAGAATTAATTTAATCCTTAGCCATTATATTCTAGAAGAGTAGCAATTCTTTGTAGAAAGAATTTTGTCCATGTGTATTATAGCAGCAATTCATGAGTTCAGTGGCTCGTAAGCCCATGAAATTTTATGTATCATGAATGTGTTGGTCTTTAAGGAAACACCTGATTCTTTGAATTGGACCAGTATGAAAATCATATTAACATGGTTTTATAGAACATTTTTTTACATCCTGGAATGTTTCTTGAAAATAACTCTATTTTTACTTTATATTGACAGACCAGAAGTAAACACAAAGAAATATGCAGGCTGTCTCAAGGATATTGAAATTTCCCGGACACCATATAATCTTTTAAGTAGTCCTGACTATCTTGGCATTACCAGAGGGTGCATATTGCAGGTTAGTTTTTGAACTCTCTGTGTTCTCCTTGAACAGGTTAAAACTAGTAATTTACATTAGCAAACAGCTAAGTTATAACTTGCACGGTACTAATTAAGAAAGGAGAAACTTACCCTGCAATAAATTTTTGTATAAATTTCTCCTTCTCCTTTCACAAGTTACTATATATTTATTGTATTAATTATATGAGAGATTTCCACTACAGCAAATTGTATTATATATGTGGGTTATTTATATTTTACACTACTTGCACTAAGGTACCTAAGACAATATATATATGGACATTTCAAGCAGAGTTGCTAAGGACAATTCTTAAATATATTCTACAGTAGTTTATTGGACAAACTAAGCCGAACTCATATAACACTAGTTACTTAAATAAAGTGAAATAAAGCACTTTAATATCTACCAGTGTGAAAAACAGTTAAACCACAAATCAAGCCTTGAATAGTTTATCGATGAGTTGAGCTCAGTTAACAAGCTGAAATGCTAATAATAATAATAATAATCCAGTGACAAGTAAAGGAGCTTGACTTTGAAGGGGGAGGGAGAAAATTAAATCCATGTGTGTATAATTTACAAAAATAGCATAAAAGATTAATAGCATAGAAATCAATTAAATCAATCACATAAACAATTACGTTATAATGCAGATTTCTGTTGAGTTACATTGTTTGCTACCATTGTTTCAGTGGTAAAATTTAAACATAGATTTCCATTGCGTCTATTCCATCAAACCAAAATACTTTCATTACAAGTATTCCTTCATTTTCAACTGTACATTTAATGATGGTTTGAAATTACAATGGTTTCCAAAAAAGTGACTTACCATTCTTTCTCAAGGTTATAATTATTCTATCATCCTTGCAGTCATCTGATTGCAATTTGGGCATTTGGCAATTAGTTCACATTTATGACGGTTGCAGTATTTTATAGTCATTCATTTGATTGCAGTCATGACCTTCCCAGCCAGCTTCCAACAAGCAAAGTCAATTGAGGAAACCAAATTCACTTAATGATCATATGATTCACTTGAAGACCATATGAATTGCTTAACAACCACAATATTCATTTAACCATAATAAAATGTTATTAATATCACGTCCTGTCATGCAATGGTTCACTTAACAATCACATCACTTAGTGATCAAAATTCCCAATTTTGGCCATAAACCAAGGACTACCTGTATATGGCAGCTAGGGACTTGGATATCTCAAGGACAATCACTTTTCATATTCACCAGCATATAAGACCAACCTCATATACCTCTGTGTTGTTCTGCCATCTAAGGGTTCCTCCACCATTACCTTAGCTCTGTTGGGTTCTTCAAACCATCGCCATATGGCAGTCCATATACAGTTTTTGAATTTTAGCATCCAAAGTTTGGAATTAACTTATTAGGAGTTTTGAGAGGAACCATCTGATATCATACCGTCCTTGAGTCCTCTTCTGTGAGGTAGTTAATAGGACAACTTCTATAATACTGGTTATCAGGGCTGCCACCTAGCCATCCATTTGTGCCTTGAAATTCCTTACTGAAGCTTTCCCCTGTCACATCTTTCACTAGTTCTGCATTTACTTTCCTTCTGAACTCCTGTGGCATACCTGATTCCTGTTCCGAGCAAAGGGGGAGGGAGAGGAGAGTAATTGACAAGCTAAGAAGGGGAACATCAAGGGAATGCCCAACTACTTAATAGTTCTCTGTACTGAGGACTTCAAAGGTATAGCACATTTTTGGCAGCCATCTGCCAATCCTAGATATCCACGACCAAAACTAATAGGATACTGGAAGAAGCTTCACATAAAAATCTAAGCCTAACAAATGTTTTCAAATGCTGAATAATTTAACAGATGGAGAAATGCTTGTATAGCACTTTGAAATGTAAACTGTTGCACCATTTATTATGATCTGCTGTTACAAGCATTTTTTTTTTATTCAATTCCTTCTTTCTTATAGAATATCTACACAGTCAGCTTTCCTAAACCTGGCTTTGTGGAGATGCCTCCAGTCTCTCTTGAAGTGGGAACAGAAATTCACCTGTCCTTCAGTACTAAAAATGAATCTGGTATCATACTCTTTGGTACTAATGAAATATCTGTACCTCCAAGAAGGAAACGCAGACAAACAGGGCAGGTATGGAATGATAAAGGGATTGTTTGATTGACTCTTATGAGCAAATAATTGGCAGGTACATGCCCAGATTTTTGAACAGAAATATTCCAGGTTTAGTTTACAACATCCTAAAATGGAATGCAGCCTCAAGAAAATTCATTCAGTTCTTCTTCTAACAGCTTTAAATCAAATAAAATTTTAAACTTTATTGTATTATTTTAAAATTATTTTAATTGACAGGATAGAAAGACAGGGTATAAATTAATTAAATAACATTTAAGCAGCTTAATAGCTTAATTGATACAGGGTTTATATTTAGGAAAGGAGGGGAAGGGAAGGGAAGAGAATGGAAAGTTTGATGCTGTGATAAAAATCATGAAACTAGAAACCAAAAAAAAAAACCTGTGACTACTCTTGCTGCCAATGAAGGGATGAAGCCAACTGAATGCCTTTGACCAAGCACTTTCTCTGAGCTGTAGAAAGTAAGCAAGGGTGAATTATAATTATGGGAATGAATGAAATTCAATGAAGAGTAAAGCAAGGTTCTACACTTAGGCAAGAAAAACCAAATCTACAGGTGCAGATTAGGTGAAACGTGGCTCAACAGCAGTAACTGTGAGAAGGATCTTGGAGTCCTAGTGGACACTTACTTAAATATGAGCCAGCAGTGTGCTGCAGCTGCCAAAAAAGCCAGCATAGTCCTAGGCTGCATTAACAGAAGGATAGAAATGTTAGTACCATTTTATAATGCTTTGAGAAGACCACACTTGGAATATTACATCCAGTTTTTGGTCACCACAATATAAAAAAGATGTGCAGATTCTGGAAAGAGTGCAGACAACCACAAAGACAATTGGACCCTAGGGGCAAAACAGGAACAGTTGCAGGAATTGGGTATCTAGTGGAATGAAGGACTAGGGGTGACATGATAGCAATGTTCCAATATTTGAGGGGCTGCCACAAAGAAGAGGGGGTCAACCTATTTTCCAAAGCACCAGAAGGCAAGGCAAGAAGCAATGTATGGAAGCTAAACAAGGAGAGAAGCAACTGACTTGGTGCTAGGAGACTGTTGGGGATTTAAACATAGCAGGTAAAGTGGGTATGAATATCCCTTCTGACTCCAGAGAAAGTCTCTCTCTCTCTAGTTCCAAAGAGGATTGCACTTTCCCCGTAGAGCAGATCCACAGTCTTGAATTTGTCCCAGATTTTTGGCTCCTGCTTGAGCAGCAGATCGAGACCATAGCCAGGACATCCTTTGCACTTTTCTTGTGAGATGGAGCATGTGGGGGTGGGGTGGTTAAATTTGTCTTGGTCTTCTTGGATTGTGCCATTCTGCTCCTTTAGTGTATGATTTAAGGAACACCTTAGAAGAGCTGTTTAGGGAAATCTTAATAACACTTTTAGAAACTATGGAAAGAGTACCATTCAAACTCTGGTTTTCAGTGATGTATTCAGATGATAAACACATATTCCCTTCCCTTTTTAATGATATCAGTACAATGATACAGATTCGAAGTCCATCATACCTTCAAATCATTGCTGGTGGCTAAAATTAGCCAGGTTCTCCAAATTTAATAACAATAATTTATTAAACTTGCATGCCATCTAACTAATACTGTAATGGGATTTTTTTTTCCTGTGTGCCCTTTTTTGAATTACCAGAAGAGCAGTCTGTGTCATCTTGGAGAAAATGATTGTAAAAAACATAAAATTAGGAATAAATGCTTTCTGCTGAAATGCTTGTGGTTTCTTACAGGTGTATTATGCTGTATTCCTGAATGGAGGTCGACTTGAAGTACATATTTCTACTGGAGTAAGAGATCCACGCAGGATCATTGTGAAACCTGAGTCTGGTGAATTTCATGATGGCAAAGAACACTCCCTTTGGTTGGAGAGACTTGGAGGGTAATAAAACAGAAATTAGGGGTTCTGCATGAACCCTCTACCGCCTGAAACTGTAAGAGAGAAAAATAAAATGGCTGTGTAATTTTCATTTAAAAGCCATCTTCTGACAGTGGTGAATTTATTACTACACAGGTTATGCTTTAGTGTAGGCATTACTGCTTCAGGTTTTCTTTAATCTAAATGGCTTTGTTTAAACTTAGACATCTGTTGTAAATGCACTGTAAATGCAGCCAAGGAATTGGATCATGAGTTTATATCAAAGAACAACTTCCAGTAAGAAGAAGCCAAAGTAACAGCAGGGCCTAACAGACCAGAAATTAAACTTCTATATATTTGTATGCTATTTATAAAATCTTACTGAAGTAAAGAGTAAGAGAGTTTGGATTGCCAAGTAAAAAAATTTAAAAAAACGTAGTCACCAAACCAGTAGTAACACCAGTTGAATCCCATCCCTGTAGAAGGAGGTCATGCTGGCTGCAATTCTTTTTGCAACAAAGTTAGGATATACATAAGCCACATGAAAATAAATGATGGTGGCTTAAGGAAAGAAGATGAATGCATTATGACCCTATACAAATTAGAAGCTTCCTTTGATCATAACAGGATATATGTTATGATTTTTTGCTCTGAGAAAGTTTTTTAAACTGGTTTCTCACTGCATGTATGATATATAGTTGGACTCTCCCATCTCCGAGTAATCTTAAAATGCTCTGAAAAAGTTTTTAAACTGGTTTCTCACTGCATCTATGGTATATAGCCGAGTTCTTCTGTAACCTTTTAAAAAGTCTGTCAGCAATGACTGTGTAAGTTTGGGAAGGAAACAAATAACCTCGCCGCTAGTTTTTTTTCCCCAAGCAGAGTGTTATTTTAACGCATTGCACCTTGGTGGTTTCAAAAATGCACTGTATGTTAAGGTAAGATACTCTGGTCACCTGTCAACAGGTCCATTCCCTTTTGTATCCACCGTTAGTAAAATGAATACAGTATAACAAACACAGGAAATACCCAGCTGAAGAAGAAGAAGAAAATACAACATTGATTGCCAGACCACTAAATATCCATAAAATTGTGGCTAAAGCCAGCAATGGATTTGGAAAGCTTTTCTCTGCTTGGCTGCTTCCTTCTCGGGCCCAGTGGCAGGCTAAGCCCAAGAAGGATGTAGAACAGTTCAGCCAGAGTTCAGTTCTTTACTTGCTTATACAACAGACAGAATCGTGGGATACTGAGCTCTTAATACCCTCAACCTAACAGATATCCCCTGGGAGATTTTAAGGAGTGGCTATCCAAACTCTCTTCCTCTGTCTCCTACCTAGCATCTATTGGGGGCAATATGCTGACTCTGTAAACCACTTAAAGAGGGCTGTAAAGTATTGTAAAGTGGTATATAAGTCTAAGTGCTATTGCTATTGCTGTCTGTCTGTCTGTTGGAAGAAATGTCCATCTGGGTTCAGTTCCAAGTGGGAAGAAAGACACTGGAAACATGGAGACTGCTTGGAAGGATGGTTTAATGGTGGAACAGGACCACATGGTTTGAGGTCCCAGGCCAAACTGAGCACATGGTTGAGAGAGGGAGAGAGATTGATACCCTCTGTTGGACTTAGGAACTTACTTCCTGTTTCTGTGGCAAGAAATGTATCCTGACTGGTTGTCAGACTCCCATGGGGGCATGCAGGGGTACCTTTGTAGGTTGTCTTGAGTCCCAGGCTTGGTTGAATCTTGCTGAGTGATGTAATGAAGGGGCTTTAGGCAATTCCTATTATGGCTTAATGGCTTTTTCCTGATTTGGATCTGAGTGAGGGCTAATCCTATCACCCTAGTGCTGAAGATCTTTTGTGTTGGAGATAAGATGGTCCAGTCTTTTGTCTTGTAGATAAGCTGGCACCAAAATATCTGCTGGGGCTGAATTTCTGTGTCCCTTAAGATTTCTATTTCTCTTTTAGGGGAAATATTCTGCCTTTTTAATATTTCCTAGAATATTTCATTCTTCTAGGAGAGGGGTCTCACTATCTTTCTACATATCTGTCTGTCTGTCTGTCTGTCTGTCTGTCTGTCTATCTATCTATCTATCTATCTATCTATCTATCTATCTATCTATGCAGCAATTGTAAATTTTATTAAATTTCTAGTAGCTAAAAATGTTCTTAATATTTCACTGATAATAAGGAAATTGATATATTGCTAGCACTACAATAAGACTAATTTAAAATCCCAAACAATACATCATTTATTTTAGCAATATAAATTGAAACAAGACTGTGTTGATAAGTTTACTTACAAGGACAGTTTGTAGTTATTACTGCTTCATACTTTTTTTCTAGCAGATAGAAATACAGCCTAAGGCTAAGCTCATTCTTTAAAGAAGCTGTTGAGGTAATTCCCCGTTAGGAGAATGAGCACATACAGGGAGACATATTTAAGAGAAGTGTTTGAATAATACACACACAGTACACAGATACACTGTACAGTAAATGTAGGTTTTTACTTCCAGACTGTTTAAGCAAAGTTCAAGATAAGCAATCCAAAATCATTCACAGGTAAATCAGTCAGTTTTTTCAATCCACGGATAATCCAAATATCAAATTCCAGTGTCAAAAACAGTTCAGTATCAGACTTACATTAAATCCAGTAATATCAGTCAATTAGAAGAAATGGAGCAACGGCAATACTTTCCAACAGAAGGAAACAGAGATACACTCACACACTCTTCTGAGACTCAGACAAACCAGGTTTCTGGCTCCATCTGATGGCCGTTTGAGAAACCACACCTAATTACAGTTTTGCATTTTCTTAAAGATACAGTTTTAAAATGTTTATCCTGGTTTATATATTTCTAACCCAAATAGCTGTTAGGTGACTTATATTCCTAACAGAAGCCTTTATATCCAAACCACATGTAAAGCAAACATCAGATTTTTACAAACTGGATTGTTGTAAAACTGGAAAGAAATAATTTATCACACTTATCACTCCATCTGCTAATTATCATGCAGGCTTTATTTTATTAAAAGTACAGTGCATTTTTGAAAATTCTTTGGAAAGCTAATTGCCCATATAATTATGAACTAATTGCTGTCCATTCCAGGGTAATTATGTAATAGCATTGACAAGTGAGGTTCTTTCTTTGTGTACTGGTCATCTCTGCCTGTGGATAAGCATTTTTTTTGGACAAATTCAACAATAGCAAAGTGCTATGTAAATTATTAGAGATTTAACCAGCAACTATGTTAATAAGTCATTATACATATTTCTAGCTTTGCTATAAAGATTGTGTCTTAGGGCCTGTTAATAACGTCTAACAAGAACATAGGCTTTTATTACTGTATTATCTGGCATGGAACCCATTTGGAAGGGAGGGAAAAAAAGTGAATGCTTTATCTCAATGCCTATTCTGAAAACTAGTGTGGCTTAGTATACATAATCATAGTGTAAAACAGTGATCCCCAACCTTTTTTATGCCGCGGCCCGGTACCGGCATCAGCTGGGCGCCGCGGCCCGGTACCAGCATCAGGTGGGCGCCGCCATCTTTTTTTGATGAAAAAGTGCTTCCGGTGAGCTTTCTACCCGGAAAAGCTCACCGGAAGCACTTTTTCGTCAAAAAAAGATGGCGGCGCCCAGCAACCAGCGGCCCGGTAGGAGTTGTTCCGCGGACCGGTACCGGTCCGCGGACCGGTGGTTGGGGACCCCTGGTGTAAAAGGTTGAAAAAGAACTGTTGTTCTAAGCTTCTGTATAAACTGACTGGAAAAACCTCTTTCAGTGCTGAGTTACTATTATGTTTAGCTATTTTCACCTTTGGGCCCAGGCTAAAAAATGAATGCATTTCTCTTTGTTGTGTCCAGTTCTTTTATGTTGAGCATTATTGAGCAATTTTGTTGACTTGCAAAATTAGGAATTGGTAAGGTCGTAAAGCTCATGTAAACGGACCAGACTACTTCCATGCTCATTATTTACTACTAATATATTTATTTACATACCTTGAAATTGAATTCCATTGCTCTCTTTTGGCATAGCTTCGGAAATGTTACCTCTATAAGTTCTCTAGAAATGTTTTAACTTATATCAACAGCTAATAAGAAGATGTTAAGGTTCATTCCATTTAAGCCATTGTTGAAGAAGCAATACATCTAAAAGAAAATAAAGAATTCAGAGGAGGAGGGGGGAAATGTAACAGTGATTGTCATCCTTGTTAAGCTAGAGATGAAATAAAACCAAGGAACATTAGTATTCTCTCTATGTTTTGGATATGTCCATTAGTAACTTGTTACTGGTTAAATAACCTATGGTAAACCAGGATTGGAAGGAAATTTGCAATACTGCAGGGAAATTACAGCTGAAAGATGCTAACATACTGTTAAATTATTATATTCTGGTATTTTGTGTATAGAGAGGCTGGCTCAATTACATTTGTCAGGGCTCAGATTCAAGGACTCTATAAATCAATGGGAAGACAAGATCAAACAGTATAATTCCATACAGTCATGATTTGGTGGTCAAAGGGGAAAAATTGAATTCATATCCTTCTTTCTCACTGTTTCAAAATGTCCAGCTTTTTTAAGGCCATCATTTCAGTGTTGTATCTTAATCAGTGCAATTTCCTAATGGTGGGCTTTTCGTAATTCTGCAGGCTGTTTGCCATTCAAGTAGATGAGGACAGAAGACAGTCCCAGCGACTCCCAACAGATCAGCCTATGTCCATTAAAGGGCTTTTTGTGGGAGGAACACCACCTGAATTTCACATACCCCCTATTAAAAACATACCTGCATTTGATGGCTGTATATGGAACCTGGTTGTCAATGCTGTGTAAGTATATGTTAATATTGCTCCAGAAACATATCACTCTTAAATATTTGTGGCTTCCCATATTTTACATAAAGGGAAGATTTAAAAGAACTGCTTCCAAACTTGAATCAGAATCAGAATAGAGCTGGAAGGGACCTTGGAAGTCTTCTAGTCCAGCCCTCTGCTCAAGCAGGAGATCCTATATCATTTCAGACTGTCCAGTCTCTTCATAAAACCTCAAGTGATGAAGCACCAACAACATCTGAAGGCCAGCTGTTCCACTGGTTAATTGTCCTCACTGTTAGGGAGTTTCTCCTTAATCCCAGGTTGCATCTCTCCTTTATTACTGTCGTTTCCACCCATTGTTTCTTGTCTTTCTTGTTTCTTTGGAAAAGAAATTGAAGAAAAAATCCTGGTCCCTGTCTATTTTCATCATCCTTTTGTTCATAGTAGCCTTGGCTGACCTCAAACAAATGTAGCTGTCAGCCATCAAAAGGATACCCATTCCTGTCCTGGGGAAAAAGAAAATTTGGCTTTCTTTTGCCTTTCAAGGAAGGGATCAGCATGTTGGAGAAGATACGTCAAAACATTTCTGACTTTCCTTTTTGTCCATGATCAGTCTGGAGAGGTAATGAAAGGCTCAGGCTCTTTTTCCCGTAGTGATATTCATGAGATTTGGGCTTGAATATAGCCTGTTCAATCATTCTGGGAAAATTATGTAAATTTTCCCTGAGGGCTCATATCCATAGGCAGGACTTTGGCCTCTTCTCCTAAGGATAGTTACTATCATTCAGAGTCTACTTTCTGAGGATTTCACATCTATTTCTTCTTTTAATAGTTTTTAATTTCTTAATGTAAACTGCTCACAAGTCATCTGGAATGAAACAGTCTCTAAATATAACAACCACAATCATAGTATCTTAATTATCTGTATTAGTGACCTGGGATATCATAGATCTTCGGTATGAAGAAATGATTTGCTATATTTTTTTTATCTTGCCATTACTCCAAGCACCTCAAAATAGTGTTCAAGTCTCTGCGTCATCTGTTTTAATATAAGAAGTTGACTAAGGTTAAGAAATAAGTCTTAGTCCATGGTCACTCTGTGTATTTCATGGCTGTGGAGATTTAAACTCAGTCAGTAGTGTCGTCTTCAATATGGTAATAATGGAACTCTCAGCATTCTGAGTAACACACATCCACCAAAAGCAGAACTCTGAGGCAGGTAGATTCCTCAAAGAACATGTTTATTGCATACATCATATCAGCACAGCTAGTGAAAACCAACTCTAAAAGTTCCGGTGGTTTTTCCCCTAATTAAAAGAGCAAATATCCCCACCCCCACCCCCAAGCATCACAGTCACATTGTCCAATGTAAGTACCTGGGAGGTTGCTTGGTCACTCCTTTCCTCCTTCACTTGCCTCTTGTTGGGATGGCCTTGCTTCCCACAAGAAAACTTTTTGTTTTGACTGGTAGCCTGTCTATCTCCTTACCTCATCCCTTCCCCCTTTCAAAAGCTATGGCAGCTATAAGGCAGGAAAAGATGGCTTCAGCCAGGTTTGCTTCAGAGGTGACAGCAACATTGTCACTGCACATGCTAGAACCTTTTAAAGCAAATATAACATCACCCGGGTTCCACATAAATTAGTTACAATCCACACTGACTTGTTCATTTAACTAAGATAAAAGCATAGAAGAGATGATATTGAATAAGGCATTGTTTCATACTTCTGGTTTCATTGTGTTTCCATAGTCCAATGGATTTCGCCCAATCAGTAGCCTTTAAAAATGCAGATATAGGACAGTGTCCTGATTTAGGACCAGATCATGAAACGGAGCATGAAGATCCAACCCCCCAGACAACAAGTCATCCTGAACCAGAGGAGGAAGAAAGTAAAGCAAGTACAACTCCTCCTCCTCCTCCTCCTCCTTTCCCACCTTTACCTGTAAGTATTTCTGTGATATTACTCCAGGTGTTTTTTATATATATTTATGAGACTAGGATACCGCACAGTTGTACTATGTGGAACATTAACACTTTTTCACATTTTTTAACTAAGCACTTCAAAACTAAGGGTGCACAGAGGGTATTATAAAAATGCAATGTTGCTTGGGAGCTTATATTAGAGGAAGGCAATAGAGGGGAGTGTATGTGTATGTTAGATCAGCGGTCCCCAACCTTTCCAGCTTTGCAGACTGATGTGAGAGAAGGAAATGTTTCTATGTGAGCAGCAGGTGTGCATGCTCACACACACACCTACATTTGCATGAGAGGCAAGCAATCATGCTCGCTGCCACCATTCGTGCAAATGGAGCTGCGCATATGTGCTTATCAAATGCGTGCATGGCCTGGTTCTGAATGAGCTGAGGCAGAGGTGGTATTCAGCAGGTTCTGACCAGTTCTGGAGAACCGGTAGTGGAAATTTTGAGTAGTTCAGAGAACCAGCAAATACCACCTCTGACTGGAGATTTTACAGTATCCTTCCCCTGCCACGCCCACCAAGCCACGCCCACAGAACTGGTAGTAAAAAAAAAATGAATTCCACCACTGAGCTGCGGCCCATTTGAAACCAGGCCATGGCCTGTGGGTTGGGGACCCCATGTTAGATTACATATTCCAAGGAAGAAATAAATAAGCAAGAAAAGCTGTAGAGGAAAAATTAATGGCATAATGATTATGTCAAGGGAACTAAAACATTTCAAAGAATTTATTTGAGTCACAACCAAATATGTCTCTACAATGAAAGATAACCATTAACTGCTTGTAATATTAATAGACATGAATCTGATCCAGCAAAAAATGAAGAATATTTGAGTAGAATAATATTTACAAAATTTACCAACCAACAATGACAAAAACCCTTAATCTTAAAAAGAAACTACAGAGGAAATGTAAAAGTTAAAAAAGAATAAAAGTCCATTTCTGCAATATGTTACAAGACTTTTCAAGAAGTTTGAATAAAAAACCTATGACAACTTGGAATGGGATCTTTTCGTTGCAGCTATCAAAAAATAGACTGCATACTTAACATTTGTGTATACATGCAGAGAAACTCTGGGATGAATATAGGAAAAAAATAAGTCTACATTTTTCTCTTTTTATTTCATTATTGAATGCTAATTTTTGTATGAATCAGGGTACCCAGAAATCTGCTTAATGAAGAGAAAGCAGCTTGACAGATTACAAAATTTAATTGTCAACAGGACAAATTAAGATACTTAAATCTCTTAATTATACAGCGTTCTTCTACAACTCTCAATCTGAGTTAAAGTCTGTATGAGTAAATGGATGCAGAATTTGAACATAGTTAATAAAGATGATTAAAGATGATTAAGAAGTTTGATATATAAATAAATAAAGATGAAACAGTAGGGATTTCAATGAAAAATTGTTTGTTTATTTAATTAAATTTTTATGCTGGCCATTTCCCTTACGAGGTGACTCTGTGCAGCTTACAAGTAATATAATTTACAGAATTTTCTTTGTTGTTTATTATCTTCAATCTTTCTTTCTGCCTCCTCTTGACTCTAGTTGTATTAATCAAGTATCTTTAAAGTGTAGTAGAGATGTATTTTGATTATAAAAAGGATATGAAATGGCTTATACTATAGTACATTTTTAATTTGTGCTATACTATTTTAATTATATAATATCTTAAATGTATTGATTCATTGCTCATGTTTTAAAGTTATATTGTTTTTTTTAATCTGCATTATCTATTTTTTATATTTTTAAAAAATTTGTACTCATCTCAGTACTATCTTTTATATTTTTTTAAATCCTGCCTCTATTTTATTTTTTATAATAATTCAGGGTAGCAAACATGCACAGTACTCCTTCCTTCTCCTATTTTTCCTCACAACAACAACAACCCTGTGAGGTATGTTAGGCAGAAAGAGAGAGAGAGAGAGCCAAAGTCACCCATGCAACTTCCATGCCTAAAGTGGGACTAAAGCTTAATCTGCTGGTTTCTAAGCAGGCAGCTTCACCATTATACAGATTCCAAAATATTCATGCAGTGAATTAAGCCAATTCAACCCAGAAATACATTGTTACAATTTTTCCTCTGTCTTTTAAAATAATAGCATGTAGTTTATTAAAACAAATAGGAAAAGAAAGAGTCTCAGATGGCAGAAATCAAACAAAATCAAAACATGACATGCAACAGTTTGAAATAAGATTAGAAAATTGAAAAATGAAAGCACTCCCTGGGCATTTTTTGAAAGATACTGAAAGAAAAATCAGACAATAACAATGGCTTAAACATATTTTATTTTTTTTAAAAAAAAGAAGCAAAGGAAACCTTTTTGTACTCCAAGAAGAAGTCTTATGCACAGATGATATTAGGTCTAAATAGAAATAGAAAAGAAAAGAGAAAATAGAAAAGACTCAGTTTGAGGAGTAAATCTGGTTATGCCAGGATAAGGATGAAACATTTGACCACATGGTAATGAGATGCAACAATATTACACAAGTTGATTACAAAAGAGAACATGTTCAGATTAGGATGACATTACACTGGCAGATTTGGTTGACTAATATTACACTGGCAGCTCACAGTCCATAAAAACTATTTGAAACATGAAATAGGAGGGTGTTGCACATGGCAGGGCAAAACTTTTAAGAGATTTTAAAACTCTGACTGATTGACAGTCAGCATGCCAGACATTATTATCAATGAAAAAACACGGTTTAGTTAATTGATATAGCTATTCCAAGAGACAATAATTTTGAAGGCAGATAATTGGAAAAGACTGCAAAATAAGGTTTGCAAAAATCTGGGAATGGTTGACATTAGGGAATGGTTGACATTAGGGACTAGATGTAAGTGCCACAGTGACTTGGAATTTGGACTGCTTAAATTTTGAACAAATTATAACAGCCCAACTATAAACAACAGTACAGTTGAGCACTTCATACATATTTAAATACTACATTTACTTTTCCTAAACCCTTGAGTAGGGCTTGAATCTGAAGAAGAAAACCTGCCAACTTGCCATCAGTTGTAACACATGATCAGTGGAATTGAGATGATGATTGATGATGATAGACATTTGCCATAGGCACAAGACCTAATATAAACTATAATTTCACTATGTAAATTTCCATTATTTTAAAAGCTATTTTTATTATTATAATTTGTATTTAATATTAAGGAGTGAATTTTATATTCAGAGTTCCTTTAGATCTTCCTTTCATTATTTCCCATTATAATTCATTGTAGGTGTCTCAGATTAGATAATGACTATGGGGGTTTCCCAAGAAATGCCTTTTTTGATACTATTTTTGATATTCTATTACTTTGAAGTTTCTGCTGAAACTTCCATCACAACAGTAAATTTGGTCCTGTTGTGTTTGCGAGACGAACATCTGTGCAATTTAAAAAAATGGATAGAGATCAGTGACGCTATCTGCCAGGCCAGCAATTTTTTTTAGCTTCCAGTGAAATGGTTTATGTATGAACCTGTCATCTAAAGGAGAGAAAATTGGAATCCTATTATTTAATATCTTCTCTTTTCCTATTTTCAAAAAATAGAACTAATTATAATACAGCTCAATGTGTCAAGATCTCAACCATTACTCTCTGTCACAGTAACAAAAGTCTAGCATTTGTTTGCTACTTTCATCAGCTACTCTTATATAGAAACCACAGCGGAGAACCAGGCCAATCTCTCTCCTTGTCCAATACAATCACTGTCATATAAAATGGGATGCACAAGCAGAAAACCATTTATGCACAAATCTTATCTATACCTGTTCAGAAGCCTCCGGTTGTTGTTGTTGTTGTTGTTTTAGAAGAGACTTTGGCTGGGGGGTGGGCTCTGAATCACACGTGTTGAATTACAGCAGGGGAATTGCTTCAATGAAAGAAGGAAGCAACAAACCCAAAAAATGACACGATATGTATGACAAAATATAGTGCGTCCTCTTGGCATATACACACACACACACACACTAGTTGTATTGCATTTGATTTTTAAAAGATATACTGTACCTTTGTAACATGTTGCAAATTGAGCTAAAAATTTGCATGCAAGTATTGATTTCTTGTTTTCAGATAATTTCAATATTATTTGGCTGGTGGTAGCAATGGTCACCTTACTGATATCATTATTTTACCATCTTCTATCCCAAAGGTAGCCATGTTTAACCCATTTTTAAAGAAAACTGCTATAAGCTTGGAACATGAGTTTTTAAGTGTTTTTTTCTTCTTCTTGAATATTTCCTTTGCAGCTTTGTATTAAACAAATCTCAGCCAAGCCCTGGGTAGATAGACATAATAGCTATTCAAGGTAAATAATAATAATAACAAGACTCCATTGATAATGCTTAGCAAAAAAAAATTTAAAGCAAAGATTATTATTTTTCCAATAATAAAAGGGCAAATTGCCAATATATATATTTAATAGCTTTATTGTCAACAAAAACAGGAAGTAAACATAAAAGAAAATTGTTACAGTTCTACAGATTCACAAACACTGTGCATCAGTCGATCTGCTGGCGTGGTTCCCTCTTAAATTGTAGAAGAAAATGATTTCATAGGGTTATCAAGCTTTTTTGGAAAGTGGAACATTTGCTTTCTAAAGAAAAGGGCCCCAGCTTCTATTTTTGCTTTCATTTCATTTCATAAAGGACTCTGCTTGATGAATCAATGAATAATACTTTCATATAAGGCAGTTTTGTATGTTCAAGCTCAATAATTATTTTTGTCCCCTTCTTTGAATTGCTGGTTATTTCTATATAAGGTGCTGGCGCCTTTAGCACCATTGATTAATTTTGTCTATGGGTCTCTTAAATAAAACATTAAATAAAATAGTTAAATATATACAGAAAGACTTTATATTAAACTAGGACAATTTCCACCAAACTGGCTAAGAAAAAAATATCAATATATCTATAAGAGCTCATGTGATATCAGTTTGATGGTGTTGTGGACAAGTTTTCATAGATTTGTTAGGAAAAGTTATTTGGTATTCTTAAACATGGGTATAAGTATGAAATACTCTTACTGTTGAAATAAAAATTGCAAACAAGTATCAAGTCATGAAAACAAGCATATGATGATACATTTTAGACCCCAAAATGTAAATTTCATCTAAACATTAGTGGGATTTCAGCCGGCTGACCTCTAAAAGGTCTTAAGAGTCACAGTGGACAGTATCACAAACATTTTAATACATTCGGCAGATGCTATTAAAATGTGAATCCCATGCTTGGAATCATTAAGAAGGAAACAGGAAATTGAATTGTCACCATCCTAGATAAGAATTGTTGATGAGACTATAATTAGTCCATAATTAGACTAACATGTACAACTCTATGTACAGTTAGGGTCAACACAACTTAAACATAGAGCTGGAAAAGGGACCAAAAAGTTTCACCAAAGTGATTAGAGGGATCGGCAGGTTTTTTGTGCCTCTTTTTGGCTTCCAATAATGATCAAGAAAAACATGGTAGAAATATATAAATTCATGAATGGCATAGAGAAAGTGATTTTTTTTTTCTTTCTCAGTACCAGAGCTCATCCATTGAAACCAAACAGACCTACAGAAGGAAATACTTTTTTTTAAGTAACACATTCATGTAATTAAAATACTGTCAGTAGCTGGTAAGGACAGCCAATTTTGAAGTGAACCAGGACAAGTCATGGAGGATCAGAGTATTAATGGCTACTAATATGGTGCTTTCTCACTACCTGCTGAATCTGTAGGCAGCTCTGCTTAAATCCTGCTTGCTCGGAAGTGCCAGCAAAAAGAAGCTTTTGCCCCCAGCCCACACTTGTGAGCTTCCCTGATGGATCCATGTGGCTACTGTGTGACACAGAACACTGGACTAGATCAGTCACGCCCTGATCCAGGAGGGCAATTATTATCTACTTTAAGTTCTAGCAGAATCTGTACAGGTGGTCCTCAACTTACAGTCACAATTGGAACAGGAACTTCTGTCACTAAGCAGAGAGTCATACACGATTATATGATATATAAAATGTATCACTGAAATCATTAAGTGTTCCCTCATCTTCCCTTTGGCTTTGCTTGTTGGAAGCCTCCTGAGATCACCAATGGCAATCATGTAACTCCAGAATGCTACAACCATTGTAAATACATGCTGGTTGCCAAGGGCAGGAACTCTATAATGGTCTTAAGTGTGAGGACTGGTCATATCACTTTTTTCTCAGCTGTCATAACTTTGAACAATCATTAAAAGAATGGCTGTAGGTGGAGGACAACCTGTATTAGCTTTTAAGATGCTGCAAAAGATTCCTTAATATCTAAAACAGTTATTCCTCTAAAACGGTTTCCTATTTGGGCATCCTGCAGCTGGGAGTTTGTCCATGTGTCCCTCATATTGGCTAATTCTATTATTTCATCTAATAACTCACCAGCCTAAGAATCCACAGTATTGTAACATCAGAACCATGGATGTCAAGAATAATTATTTCTGCTTTTTTTTCCACTATATTGCTTTAGAAGCTTAGTCATTTTGGCTTCATCCCATGCAGGTGCTTTTACTGCAAATGCTTCTAATATGAAACGATTTGGACTGAATTCCTTGATTTGTATTTCATTGTGTTGTACTTGATGGGCGAGCTTCATGCAGGCAAATTCAGATTTTTCTTCCCCCTTCCTGTGTACTTTGAGCAGGGCCTTTGTCTTCAGTTTAAAGGAAGAAATCGGTTTAGAAAATAATGGACAGAGTAATGAGTTTGGCGGTTTTAGACATCAGGTTGCCACAAAGGCTGACTGCTTGCTACAAACACCGTTACCTAGGTACATCAACAATTGTTGCTTCTGCCTCACTTTGTTTACTGCTTCTCAGGAATTGCTTGCGGCTGAAGTGAAGAGCGCCAGTAGTTCAGCTGACTTTCACCTGACGGTATCTGCTAGTGTGGCCCTGCCTTTTTGCCTCCCCTTTACTTAACAATGCTTGATGAACTGCAGTGTGGTTTCGGTGACTAAATGGCTTCCCTCTCTTCTCCTTCCATCACTGGTGATGCAGTTTTTGTGCACAAAAGTGTGAGCTGGTCTGACAGCAATTCCATTTCCATAAATACTTCTACTAAAGGCACTGGTTTCTGTTGCCCTGGAAACATCAGCTCAAGGTTTCAGCTGAAAAACTTAAACAATTCCTTAAAATGTTCCATGATGTATGTATGTGGCTATGCTGGATGAGTGGGATTTGTCCTTATCATCCAGCCACATTTCATAAATAGTACATTAAATCTCAAGTAGGCAATGACTGCATAGGGAGGATTTTCTTTATCTCCCTTGTCAGTTACCATTTGCTGAAGGGCTGCTCTCACACATTTGTACCCGAGCTCTTCCAGACATTCTCTTGATTTGGCCTTCTTACTCAATAGTATCACAAAACCAGAGCATTCAGCAATGCACATGTCATATTTACAGTGTTGCTATTGTAAGTATGATGCTCGCTCAGGAAGATCTAGCAAAGCAGGGAATTGGCAAGGAATCTGGATGGGTAGAATTGGCGTGCTTGGGTTTCAGGCATCACAAATACTTTATCTGGAAGTGCTTAAATGTTCAACTCGTTCTGTCTTTCTCCTTTAATTGCACTGGGACGGAGTAAGAAGAGTATGCTTGTTCTCATAAACCATTTTAAAACCTGTTTTTGTCCTCTGTTAAGATTTCTTTGCATGGACAAATTGTTACCAGAACATCAAGAGAACATCAAGAGAACATTATTTTAAAATATACATTTTATGGGGTTTTTTTTGTATGGTTTATATTCATGGTGTCTTAAAGATCTTTTGCAGTAAGAAATGCTTTGATTTGGATGGAGACAAATTAAAGAATATTTCTAACATAACTAAATACGTAAAAAAATATTTATTTTAGGAACTCGAAATCTATTCTGTCCCGAAGAATTATTGTTCTGTGATATTTTGTATCATTCTGTTAGATTTTTTCACAGTGCATCTAATAGAAACTGAACATAGATATTTATATTTGCCTTTTATAGCTAGCATTAAAAGGCCATTACTATAGCACAAGTATTTTAAAGGAATTTATTTGCAAGGAATCCCACATATATAAAATCCTTATATTATTTCCTTATTTTTATCACTATATTAAGGCCATACATATTCTTCTTTATTTTCTCCTCCTATTGAATTAGCAAAATTATAGTATTCAGGTAATTTTAACCATAATTATTTGGACCAACTTTTTTTATAAAACGGAAGATCCTTGAGATTCCAGAAAAGCTATTAAAAAGCTATTTTCAATTCTTCAGGATATTATTATGATGGTGCACTCACTATATATACATTTAGCACAAAACATTTTGCAGATTTTAAATCCACAGGTGTGCTTCTAGAAATCTCAGCTTGATTGAAATATGACATTATATGCTAAAGTGATTACATATCAACTTTCTTTTTCCAACTCAGTAATTTTCTGCAGTGGTAAGTAAGATCCATACTGTATATTTGATCCATCGTCTTAACAAGAGACAAAATGATTGGTGTTGGATTGCTTTATTACTGCACACTTGATCCTGCAACAGCAAATGCTGTATTATTTGTTTTATTCCAGCAGACAACATAAGCGTGTAAGTTTATTTGAACCTCATAAAAATTATGTCCAGTGTCTGGATTCACAAACCTACAATAGCAACAGCCAGCTTTTGCATAGAAGTAGTATTATGATTATAATTTCAATTCAACAGGAGTGAAAAAGTAGTGAGTTTTCAGTTGTAGATGGGATGCAACGTCTCCTATTGCTATAAGATGCAATTGTCAAGTGATTACTTATGCCGAAATGCAAGAATTAGAAAATAGTTAAAAGAGGAGAAAGGAATTCATTGTTTTACAATAACAAAATGTTCTTCAGGCAAAATATTGACTGCTTTCCTTAAAAGGTATGGAAGTGGTCTTGTTCTAAATTGCTGGTGCGCACAGAAGAAAAGATTATGAGGCTGTTTTGCTTTGCTTTGTAGGAACATTGTGCTGATGATGTGGAACCCATTACCTTGGAAGGGGGCAAGCAATTTGGCCTCTCAAGAAACAGCCATATTGCAGTTGCCTTTGATGACACAAAAGTTAAGAACAAGTAAGCTAATAGTTTCCCACCATAGATTTGAGGTGGGTACTTTTTTAACCTTTCTGGAAGGCTGTGAAGACCTGGCTCTTCCCATTGGCCTAAGGCTAGGATGTGGGGGGAGGGATTAGCCAGAAGGTGAGAAGTTTAGTTAGACTGGCACCTGGTACAAAGGGTTATTCTGTCTTCATTCATCTTTTTTAATAATTGTAATGAACCATCTAGGATCACTATATGAAGTAGGCAGCCTTGTAAGTTTCTTTAAATAGTAAGACCATTCTGAAATAAAGTTGAAAAGAAATTATTTTGGGTAGTAACATTTGCTAAATTGTAGATGTTTTAAAACCAGACAGCCACAATTCAAAGCATTGAAGATGGGCAAGCTTGTTTTCTTTCAAGCCTTCATAAAAGAACTCAGTTAAGTTATTATACTGCCTACTTCAAAAGGATTTAATTTTAGATCTAAAAGTCACTTTCCAAATTTAGGATGGGTCTTTAACCATACATTTCCCCCCCCCCCCAAAAAAAAAAGGGGGGGGAGGGAAGGGAAGGAATGGAAAAATTTGATTGAACTGATGGCTATTATTTTTCCATGATAAAGAGGGTTCATTTTTTTTTATCAATCCAACAGAATGTTGAAAATACATTATATAAAAAGGGTTGAGATTCTGTTTTTTAGCAGAATGACTTTTCCAAAAACAGAACTTAGTGGGATTAAATTTGGCATGGTAGGAGAGAACAGAAAGGAAGGAAGGAAGGAAGGAAGGAAGGAAGGAAGGAAGGAAGGAGGGAGGGAGGGAGGGAGGGAGGGAGGGAGGGAGGAAGGAAGGAAGGAAGGAAGGAAATTAGATTCCATGTATATTGCCCACTTTATATATGTATTAGTTCTTGTATTATAATCATTGTCATTTTGTGCATTAACAGGGTTTGGGGTTTGTGTTTGCTTTCTCTAATCAGTTTTTTTTTTCAACTGATAATGATAAGATTTGCCAGAATTATTTCATATGGATGTGCTCAGGACTCATGCATATTCTTCCAATAATTTGAAAACTAAGGTCTGACGGCTGATTCTTAAGAAGAACTGTGTTCTGTGTACCACGGAACATATAATCTTTTTTTTTTCAATCCCCAAAAGGAGATATTTTCAAATCATATCACATCTGTTACCAAATCCATGAATATTACATCTATATAATTTAGTAAATTTAGAAATGGAATATGGACATCCTGGTTCTATTTCACATATAAAGAAGTTTGTGCAGTGGTGGAATTCAACTTTTTTTAACCACTGGTTCTGTAGGCGTGGCTTGATGGGCATGCTTTGCACGCCCATGCGCGCTTTGCATATGTGCGCAGAGGGTTTGATACTGACCTCCTGCAATCCTGCACTCTCCCTGTGTCTTCAACAGCTGATGCACAGCAATCGGCTGTGCCGCGTGAAGCGGCTGAGGTTGAAAAGCAGGAAATAAAGGTCAGTATGGAGCTGGGACAGGTGAGCGGGCCCAGCAGCTGATCATCAGAGCGAACCAGTTCCCTCATAGATGATCCTTGGAGTTACCAGTTCAGCCAAACCGGTAGAATACTGCCACTGAGTTTGTGGTTGGTAGCGTTAGTTGTATGAGAAAAAAAAGGTAAAACAGTAATGCTTTTTTAATGTCCTCCCTTTCTGTTTCCTTCCTTTTCCAAATGTGCAGACTCACAATAGAACTTGAAATCAGAACAAAGGCTGAAAATGGGCTGCTTTTCTACATGGCTCGGATCAATCATGCTGATTTTGCCACTATCCAGATAAAAAATGGTTTTCCGTATTTCAGTTATGACCTTGGGCATGGGAACACAAGCACTATGATTCCCAACAAAATCAATGATGGCCAGTGGCACAAGGTATTATATGATTGGACAATGCATGAATACTGTAGATACATTAATCTATAGATTATCACCCTCACCCCCACTTGTGGTGAATTGTAGAGGTAATGAATAGAGCAGCAGTGTGCCATGTTCTTAATTACAAGGACTTCTTAATTACAAGGACTTCAGAAATTGTTCCTTTACAGGTAGCTTAATCTGTTTCGGGATTCAAGACTAAATTAGCACACAGAGTTTTATTCCCAAACAGAGCTTCCACTCCTCCCCAATGCAGAATGAATGAATGAATGAATGATAAATAGTTTTATTTATCATAGAGTTTTATTTTTAGCAGAATAGGATGAAATTTGTCCCTAGATTATAACTTTGCACAGGAATGGAGCATGAAAGATTCTATAAATATCCACCCAATTTAAAGCTGCCAAGGTTGAGAAACACTGAGTTAGGCAATTAGAGTCTGATTGTTAAATAGTAATGTAACTACAAGTTGATGCATTGTAAGAGCTTAAGAGCAGCCTTTTTATGTACAGGTAGTCCTTGAATTATGACTGTAATGGAATCTGCCCATATGCTCATAAATTGTAGATTATCACAAAACAGATTAACACTGATAAGTTCTGGTTTCCATTTATTATCTGCAGATACATGAAACCTCAGATAGCAAAACAGAGGCCAACCTATAAATGTTCAATCAGAAAAAAATGCCCCTTGTTTATTTCCAATATTTATGTTGGCTGGGAAATGTAGGAAATATGGTCCTATCACATACAAAGGGCATTAGTTTATGGAAGGCTGTTGTAATTTGCGATGTCATCCTATGTTGGGAATAAGTTTCAGGGACTGTTGTATATTTTACTATTAAATGTCTAATCTGAGACTCGATTGAAGCTATTTATCCATTTAAATGACATAATAGTAAAATTGACATTGCATAATGTACCCAAACATGCTTGTTAAGTCAGTATCAAGTTTCTCCATCTTCAGGTGGCCATTCTCCCAAATAAGAGCACAAAATTGTGTAACGTCAGTACCTCTAACAAAGACTTTGCTTATTGTAGTATAATTAATAATAATAATAATAATGAGTTGCCCTTCTATATTTTTCCAGATAAAAATATTCCGAAGCAAACAGGAAGGGGTCCTGTCAGTTGACGGAACTACAAATAGGACCACTAGCCCAAAGAAAGCTGATATTTTGGATGTTGTGGGGATGCTGTATGTTGGAGGATTGCCAATTAACTATATAACAAGAAGAATTGGTCCGGTAAGTAAAGAATGACTCGTTTCACATCTCTAAAGCGCTGACAAAATGGAGTTATTTGTTGTGCACAAGTGTAAAAGTAAAGTGGTATTTGGCCTTTCATTGTCTTTGAAAGAACACAGGCCTTGTTCTATGCAAATAATCTGCATTTGCCTTTCTTTGGACTGATCTGGTTTTTTTCCACACTAGCAATGCCCTTTTCATAGGAAACAATCATATCATTCAGGGAGACTAAGTTTGTCTGTCTTTGTAGGGGTAATCTAAATGTCATTGTGTTGTGTCACTGAGAAGCAGATCCTATGGTGCATTTCTATATTACCAGTGGAGCTTCTCTTTGAACAGAAAACAGAACATAATAACAGAGTTTTGAAGGGACCTTGGAGGTCTCCTAGTCCAGCCCCCTGTTCAAACATGAGACCCTGTAGTATTTCAGACAAATGGTTGTCCAATCTCTTCTTTAAAATTTCCTGTGATGACCCAGGGTGGGATACACAAGCAACACAGTCACAAAAACAGGTGAAGTCTCTTTAATTCCTTCAACTTGGCTTTAAAGCTCCAATTATCATTGACTGGAGACAAAAAAACTCCCTCACAAATAGTTGCGAAAAGGAAGAACTTCCATTCAAACTCAAAATACATGTAATTATAAATAGAAAAAACAACACAAACCACACTGAAGCAATTACTGAGACAAGGCAGGATAAGGGCTTGGAAGACATCCACAGATATTAAAATACACACACTGGGAAGGACGCCAAACTCAGATAAGAATAGACAGACTAGAAATATTTTCACGCTTTGTTTCCAGCACTGGCCCATGCACGGTCCGTCCTTTTAAACAGTCCTCACAGCTGCAGCCCATTGTTTCTCCCTTATCCGCTCCTCCCTGCGGGCCCTAGGATGAAGAGGGAATGGGCCTGCCCATTGACTGCCCAGCCAGCCTGTGCCCTTCCCAATTTCCTCCACAACCTCCACACACTTCCACTCCCTGTCAGCTGTTCCTCCTCTCCCTCGGAGTCAGACTCCAACAGGGGCATGACATTTCCAGTGATGAAGCACCCACAATTTCTGGAGGCAAGCTCTTCTACTGATTAATTGTTCTAAGTATCAGGTATTTTTTTCTTATTTCTAGATTGGTTCTCTCCATTTCTAGATTGGTTCTCTCCAACCTAAGTATGACATAATATAATTACTGTAGCAATCCTGAAAACTGTGGGGAAAATAGTATTGTAGACGTCAACCACTGTTCATAAAAATGTATCAACAATAGTGTACTATGTATTCCTATCTGGCAGCAAGGCTTAATTCCAGGTAAGTGTGTATAGCAACCACAGGTTAATGTTTTGGATATAGAAAATTCCTGTATCCCTACATTCCAGTCTTCCTTTTATAAAACCAGTGTTCTTAGGTTTAATAACAGTGTTGGACTTTACTCAGCCCTGAAAAACACTTTGAGCTAATCACTGTTAACCCATCTTGATTTATTTCATAAGTTATTAGGATAACATTGGGGATGGGGAAAAGATCTGTATAAACCATCTAGAGGTCCTTCAACACAGTCAAGATTGGCTACAATAAACAGACATCCTAAGACTCTTCCAAAGAAATCAGCTGAGAATTATTAGTCATAACTTTTAATCGAAACTTAGATACCTGATACCAGGTGTCCCACATTAATTGCTGCCTATACATTTTCATTAAACATTGTTCCTCTATCACTTATTTTTCTAATGTTCACCAAACTCTTGATTGCAACTTTTGTATTACTCTTTCAAAAACATTTTTGCATGAATAGGGATGTAACTGCTTTGAACAATATAAATCAGATAAAGCCTTATATGTATAGTCAACCAAAGCAAGACGTCAGCCACTTTAACACAAACACTACACTGAATTCATACTTTAATTTACTGCTATTCCACAGTAGCAGGTACATTTGTAGGAGAAATTGCTTAGTAACAAATTGTTCTGCTGGAGGAAGCATGACCAAACAAGAGGAAAGAGTTTATTTTATAGAAAACAGTACAAAAAAAATAGAAGGGTTGGGGAACAAAAGAAAATGTTAACAGAGAAAGACAAATGGCAAATCCAAGTGAACACTAGGCAGAGCCTTTATTATGGATTACCTTATAGCAAGAAGAGTGGCAAAAGATTATTTCTCAGCACTTATCTATAGATTGCTGACTGATGAACCTGTTCAAGGGAACCTGGCTCTTCTTGCAGGATGATTACAAGAAACATTCAAGGTACTTAATGGACATTGGACAAAGTCCTTCAAATCCTCTCTAAATTGAATTCCAGCTATGTGAATCTGATGGAGTTGATCAAAACTTGGTCTTTAAGTTATGTGAGAAGAACTAAGCCTGTGCGTTCTAAGGAAGTGGCAGGATACCTGTGGCTGTAAGTGAAGTTACTTGTGTATTAGATCAATGCCCCACCGTTTTGAATAAGGTCTCCTGAGTGACAACATACTGTGTGGTTGGATTCAAGTGGTGCATCCTTTAGTAAGGCTGTGGCTCACCCTCTGTGCATTGAAGTGGTTATCCATCTTGTCAATAAACCATCACTGAATCTAACAGTATTGAACCATTTTCATCTGTATCCAATCTTCCCTTTTGGGGAGGAGTGTGGCTAAGAAGTTAATGAAGCATTTTACAGTCAGGTTTCAGATCTGGATGTATAGTGAGTACTGAGATGGCATAGATCATGTTGTAAACAATTTCTGACAAGATTAGGTTGGTGGTGAGGTATCCATTCTGCTTCTCCTTAATCGGTCAGTGGTTTCTTTCAGGATTGGCTTGGGGGTTTGAGAGTGGTGAAAAGCATGGTGTTGCTCCTTCCCCAGTTCCAATCCATGTTGGCAAGTTAGAAAAGTCTCGCCTAAACCTCTGCTTTGTGGAGTTCCACAAGGAAAAAATGTTTCCCTATTCATATTGTACATATTGTACACGAAGCTACTGATCATATCATCTGTGGGCAGGGAATTAGGGATATCATCTGGAAAGCATGAGGACTCCCTATTATATATTCCACTCCCCTGGCTGAACAAATGATTGAAGCTGTGTACGTCTAGAGAGAGCAAAAAGGCTCAGACTCAACTCTTAAAGGACTGGAGTTTAGGACAGATCTGGAAACTTACATTATGGAGAGGAAACTGGTGTGCAGTTTGGAAACATTGCTAAACTATTGTATTCTGTTCAGAGAATGAGTGGCAGCCACGGCTATGAGGGATTTAGGATGACTCGCAATAACCAGACTCACTGAGGCCAATTCGCCACAGTCAGGTTGCCACACCAACTCGCCATGGGAGAATTCACCATAGCCAACTTGGTGCAGGACAACCTCCAGTGGGACAAAAGTTATCGAAGAAATTGTGAAATAGAATCATTAAAGAAAGTATGCAAAAGGAAGGATGAAATGAAATGCGAATGACAAAAATTAAAATAATTTGTAATTGTTTTAAATAATTAACTTGTTAAATTGTCCTGCGATGACTTGTCCCATAGTGAATTGGCAGCAGTGAATTGTCCTATAGTGAGTTGACTGTGGCGAGTTGTGCCATTCAGGGCTATGAGGGCCCTTACATCTCATGTGCCAATTGTTCCCCTTTCTGGATTGGAAGGCCTTCCTCACTACCACTCATATCTTTGCACTTGTTGGGATTGTTACCAGGGCATTCTGCTTGGGGCTGATCTTGAAGACTACTTGGAAGCTACAGCTGATCTACAATGCAGTAGCACGAGTAGTTATGAGCCTACCTTCTTTGCATGCCTATGCAGCTGTTCTGACCCAAACCCTTCTCCAATAAAACAAACACGAACCAAAGGGAACAGAAACCTTTTAATGATTCTTACAAATCCCCGGTTAAAAGGCTGCTGCAAACTAATTAACTTTGATAAGCATGAGCCTTGCCAAAACTGCGAGGCTGCCAAGAATAACAGGTAAGGTTACCTAGAAATATGTTACAACACAAGAGTCTTCAAATACTAACTAAGATACTGCAATGCCCACGAGGCTCGAGTTTCAAAATGTCTTTGCTTCCTGCAAAGAACGTCCGATTCACAGCTGGCTTTTATCTTCTTGAAGGAGGGGCCATTACCTTGCAGCCTTACTCCCGAGTCGCCCGTGCTGCTGCAGCTGTTCTTTTCTGCAAGCAGACCTGCGTGCACGCGCACTTGGCACAGGCTCCTCAGGAACCTCATCACTGCTGCCAGCCCCCACAATCTCTGAAGGCAGCAGTCCACTCCCTAATGGTCCTGGCCTCTCATCTGAGTCCTTGCTCTCCTCAGCCATCCGCACCTGCTGCTGGCTAACCACAACAGTAGCACCGCTACTTTGTGAGCTGCTTTGGCTGTCTGTGAACTTCCAAGTACAGTTGAAGGTGTTGGCTGTCACTTACAAACCCCTTCATAAAAAACAGAGCCAAAGTATTCATAATACCAATAATTTCTACTCACCTCTGAAGATTAAACATGCCATGGGTGTCCTTTATTAAACAGTGCCAACTAATGAGAATGGAATCAAGAAAGCCTCCTTTCCCATTGCAGTACCTACATTATGGAACAGAATTCACACACACACACACATGCCAGATCATCCATGATCTGAGTAGCCCTAACCCTGCTGACCTTTTCCAAGGCACTGAAGAACTATTTGTTAGTTCTTCAGTCTCTTAGTTCTAATTGAATGAATGAATGAATGACCAATCATTGTTTATTGTCATTAACAAAAGGAAATTGACTATGCTTAGCTATATAGAGCTGAAGTGGGGCAGTGGTTAGAATGTAGTACTGCAGTCTACTTCTGCTGACTGCCGGCTGACTGCAATTTGGCAGTTCGAATCTCACCAGGCTCAAGGTTGATTTAGCCTTCCATCCTTCTAAGGTGGGTAAAATGAGGACCCAGATTGTTGGAGGGCAATAGGCTGACTCTGTAAACCACTTAGAGAGGGCTGTAAAGCACTGTGAAGCGGTATATAAGTCTAAGTGCTATTGCTATTCGTTGTTCAGAGTTTTCTTGTCACAAGTCATTGTGATTCTGATAATTAAACTTGCCTGCTCTTAGTATGAACTGCTTGTCCAGGGAAAGGAACCAAGATATTGGGGGGGGGGGGGGGGAGCCAAATAAATCACCACTTAGAGCCTTAGTGAAAACAGTGACTCTATGTGTAGCATAGTTTACAGCTTTCCTTTATGAAAAGAATAATGTTGACTTCAGAGTCAGTGACTCTAATATACAGTATCCCAACTTCCCCACTGCCTGTCTTCTGCTGAGGGATAGTAGATTTTTGTAGTAGTGGTAGTACTAGTGGTGGCAGTAGTAGTAGTAATAGTAGATTTTATTTGCAGTTGGCCTTGGGTTAATGTTACAAATTGTGGCTGATCTTTTTTATCTAAACTGAAACTACAGTTAATGGGGTGGGAGATAGAGAGCCTTACCTGAACTCTGCCACAGTCCTAAATCTAGATTGCCATGTCAGTTTTTATCAGATGCATTTTTTTACTTTACTATTAATTGGTAAGTACAAAATTTGTTCACTTACAATTACTCTTACAATTCTGTTTTAAAACGTATGAAAGGAGGGATTCAACCTGCTTTATTTATCTTTTTACATTACATTCTTGTCTCCAAAATAATGTTCTTGAAAAACAAGATTACAGTTTGGTAAAAAAAAGCATTTTAGAGATATGTTGTAACTCCAACTCCATTTTGGAGTTACAAGTGGAAAAAAAAAACAAGTGCAAATATTAACAGCCAGCAAGATTTGTCTTAGTAGAAAATGGTGATGTTGCATTAATTTTTAGTATAAACATGATCTGATCTAATAGAAGTACAAATGCTAACAACAAAGTAACTTTTGTGAAGATGAAAATATATATACTGTCAATGTAAGTAATATATAAAGATAACAAAAAGAACCATTTTGAAACACTCTAACATTTTATATTTCCAGTATATTTTGATAATCATTCTACCATTTTGGGTATTATCTTTGCTACATCTTTTAAAAAGGCAATTCAGTATCGGAAAATAAATCTATCAGAAATACATTTTATAGAATAGTCCTGAAACTAGGCCACTCCTTTCATCAAGTTGAAAACATTAGATTTAAAAAAAATGATGTCAGAATAAAGTATTTTAGAAAGGCAACTAACTTTCTTGAGGATTTTTACCCTGACTCAGGTAGTCTACAGCATTGATGGATGTATACGAAACTTTCAAATGACAGAAGCTCCCATTGATCTGAATAATCCTACCTCCTTCTATAATGTTGGAAGATGCTTTGTCAATCCACAGGAAGGAACCTACTTTGCAGGGACAGGATTTGCCAAAGCAGGTAATACCATCTCAAAATCTGCTCTTAAATGAACCCTTGAGGATCCTTGGTGCTCTCTGAGCTTGGTTTCTTGCAGACATTTCATTAGCCAAACATGATTATGTTACTTAGTTTAGGTAATGAAAAGTCTGCAAGAAAACAACCAAGCATAGAGAGTACCAAGAACCCTTCATTTCAACCCTGAGTGACAAATATTCTCCTTTATTGCTACATAAACCTTTTTAAAATCCTGGTTAGGCCCTTCTGTTTAGATAGTTGCCAAGGGAGGAATGATAACAGAGAATCACAACTGAAAAGCATAGAACAGACACAGAAGAACAGTTTCATCTTCTGAGGCTTGTTGAATTTAAAATTTTTTAATGACAAGAATGTTGCCCTTGAGGCATAATAACATATTACAACGATGGTAATAATCATCATGTTTAATATCTACACAAGATTGTTGCAGTTCTGATTTTTAATAAGATTCAGAATAGATTAATTACAATTCTTGACACTTCAGGATGCTATTTGAAATAGCTCTCTGTATGTACAGGTAGCAATAGATACATATCTGCCAATCTGATTAAGAAATGTGATTTTTATGCACGGTGTCAACACCGCACTATCATTCACCAAAGCGATTTAGTGTATAAAGTAACTGTGAAATATGAATGCTGTCAAGCGTACTGGTGCCTGCATCTCTGTACAGTATAGAAAATTATCCTTGCGTTATTCTTAGACTGTTTTTCCTTCCTTATTCCTTAGTTGGAGCATATAAAGTGGGACTAGATTTACAGGTGGAATTTGAATTCCGTACAACACGGACAAATGGTGTTCTATTGGGAATCAGCAGTCAAAAAATGGATGGCCTTGGCATTGAGTTGGTAGATGAAAATGTGAGTATGGAACTATTAGGAAAGAATCTAATTAAATGTTGTTTCTCAGCAGCCCTAAAGAGACTCTATCAAAAGATACTGAGCCATGTTACTCATCCATTGTTCCACGTCAGTACCTTGAGCTCTGATTCCTTTTGGGTTGTCCCTGTAGCCAGTGATCTTTACAATACAGTTGAAGTCAGAGCTACAGACTAGCAAACTATATTCTACAAATTTAAATTGGGGGAGGGGGGCAGGTTCCATAACATTTCCCCAGTTAAAGTATTATTATGAACCTAATCTGCATTTGTTAGAACAGTCTTGTGAAAATCCCTTCTAATTAAACTTCTGTTTCCCTTTCCAAAATCTCATTTTGGTTCTGCTAAATTCTTTCTAAAATAAATGCTGCTTGAATACAAATAGCCAGCTTGTACAAACATTGAAATAATCAAGCCCTATTGCTGTAGCACTGTTGTGGGTCTATTATCCATTTTAGATTTTGGCAGCAATCAGTTGACAAACAGTATGATCCATAATTTGTGCTTTCTCGCCAAAATTGCTTCTCAGTTATAAATTAATTTCAAGTGGATCCTTGAATTCAGAATATTCATTTGCAGTGGTTAAGAATTTAATCGCAGCTTTTGCTGAAAAGGATAATTAAGTCTCAATATGTTGAATGGGAAAGCCAGGCCTACACATTGTATAACGATCTCTTCCAAGTTATGTGGATAAGTTGTTTGACTTAATTTAAATTGCCTGTTTGTTTGTTTGTTTGTTTGTTTGTTTGTTTGTTTGTATAATTTCTCACATAGGTTATGTTCCATGTCGATAATGGTGCCGGTCGGTTTTCGGCCATTTATGAAACTGCTATACCAGGGAGTTTGTGTGATGGGCGGTGGCACAGAGTTGTGGCACACAAGATAAAGCATCGTTTAATGCTGACAGTGGATGATCAGCATGTGGAAGGGATCAGTCCTAATGCAGCTTCAACTTCAGCAGAGACAAACGATCCTGTCTTCGTTGGAGGATATCCTGGTGAGTAGATAAACCAGGCCAATGCTACAGTTGCTATCCTTCATTATTGTTTAATTTGTTACTTTTATTACAGCCACCAAACCCCAAGGGAATCCGTTTATGGAATTCTATTAAGTGTTTCATAAAGTACAATTTTTGAAACCAAGGAATTATACAAATGCACGCGGTCTGGATTGAGCCTGGTGGTGTTAAATAAACAACAGTAACTGCAGTGCATGTTGAAAATGCAGTGTTCGCAAGCACCGGGGGTGGGGGAGTTTATTTTTAAGCATTTCTGTTCCAAATTCAACTTTTGAACTGTGTTTTGCATCTAAGGTTCCCATTTATTTGCCTGGTTATTTGCTTACTCATTTTACATTTCATCTGTTTGCTCACATTGAACAGAAAAGTTATTACATATCATTATCACCTCAATTCGGGTGCCTTGGATGGGACTAAAATCATAATATGTTGTGATGTGGTGATTGTTCCATGGCATAACAAAACTTAGTAAAAAGCTGAATAACTTGTGCCTATGCACAGATAAATTCCTTATGTATCCAATCACATTTGGCCAATAAAGGTTCTCTTCTTTTCTCTCTTCTCTTCTCTTCTCTTCTCCTCTCCTTTCCCCTTCCATTCCATATTCTGTTCTATTCTATTCTTTTTTCTATTCTATTTTTTTCTACTCTATTCTTTTTTCTATTATTCTATTCTATTTTGAATTTTTAGGGATAAGGTACAATCTGAAAGTATGGTTTTATGTTATTGAGTTATTAAAAATATTTTTAATTGCAGTAATGCTAAGTTTCATTATTCTATGACAATTGTCTCTGTACCATATATCTACAAATGACATCTATGCATATGAGTTCACACAATATGTAACAAACACATTTGGTATCAGTTTACACTGTTATCTACTTACAGAAAAAGATTTCTTTAAAAAACAAACAAACCTCAAGATCTGAAAGATCCTACTTTCTTTTCTTTATCTCTCCCCTCCCAGATGGATTGAAGCAGTTTGGCCTGACCACTAACATTCGATTCAAAGGCTGCATTAGGTCTCTGAAACTCATCAAAGGGGCAGCTAAACCACTGGAGATTAACTTCAGCAAGGCCTTGGAAATAAAGGGAGTGCAACCTCTGTCCTGCCCAGGGAATTAAAGAGAAAAACCATCAAATTGCAATAGGAATCCGAGCAGTAACGCTAACAAAAAGATTCTTTTACAAATATGCCTGTGATATATTCCAATACTACCGTTTCAGGGTGTACTTCTAAAAGCAATATGAAACAAGGGGAAAAAATCCCTTAAAATGAATAAAGCAGCAAGTTACACATGTGTGATGTGTTGATTTTTGCCAAAAAAAAAAAAGACATTTTATGAGCACATTATGTATTGTGTTTATACACAATAAATATTCATGCTGCATTTGTGCCTGAAGCTCCTGGAGCTTTGTACAAATAGTTCATTTAGTCACCATTCAGAGTTTTACAGCAGCACTGAAAAAAGTGACTTAGGACTGTTCTTCACACTTATGACTGTGGCAGCATCCCCATAGTCACATGATCAAAATTTAGATGCTTGGCAACTGGTTCATATTTATGATGGTTGCAGTGTCCCGGGGGTCATGTGATCACCTTTTGTGACCTTCTCACAAGCAAAGTCAATTAACAATCATGTTAGTACCTTAACAACTACAAGGATTCAGTTAACAACTGCAGCAAGGGTGGGATTCAACCGGTGTTACTACCGGTTCGGTAATTACATTTTGTGTGCTTCTGTGTCTGCTTCTCTTCAGAGCTACAGGTTCTATAGAGCCGGGCAGAACAAGTAGCATCCCACCCCTGAACTGCAGCAACAAAGGTCCTAAAATGGGGCAAAATTCACTTTAAAAAGGTCTCACTTATCAACAGAAATTTTGGTCTCAATCATGGTCATAAGTCGAGGACTACCTGTATTGGAGACTTGTGTGTAAGTTACATTTCGGGTACTATATAGGAGAATGTGGGATACTGAGGCACTTTTAATTCTGCTACTCCTGTTTTTAGCATCATGTCAGAAACTTCTCCCTTCAAACTGGAGAGACTTAAACATCTCCTTTGAATATTGATTTTAATTTACATATTAAATCATCAAATTGTATAGATGTTTGGCAGCATACAAGAGTTGCATAAAGCCCTGAAACCATAATAAAACATCTCCACCCTCAAAGAAAGATTAAAGGCAAAGAGCTCAAGTGGCTGATTTGAACTGCTGTTCCAAATCAACAGGCAATGAGCTCTTAAGCATTTCAAATCTATATTATTAAAGCTTTTGAATGTTAATGCCCATGCAATTCGTTAGTATTTTCTATATGTTTATATAATATATATTTTTCCATAATATGAAGGGCTGCATTTTCTTGGAGAAATAGTGATGGCAGCGTTCTCTGCCTAATCAAATGTTTAATATAAATATCAAATGAACATTGGACTTAATACCTAATATAATGTTTCAACAGCAACAGAATGCTATGTGTTTCTTTTTTAAAAAATATTTAAAATGTGGCATGATCATATTTTTCCTCCAATGGACTACTATATGATGTCAGTGAAAACAGAAAAAATAATAACCGTGCCTACTATACAATGTGTTAAGTATTTTGCTCTATACATCTTTATTTTAAATGAATAGTTTTGCTCTTCTTTAAAACAATTTTGGAGCAAGCCTGCTACTTGGACCCTCTCTGAAGTTTGATGATCAATCTGAAAAGAATAAAAATGCAATAATTGGCTAGAAATCCACAGCTTATTTCCGGGACTGCAAAAAGCTGCCCAGAAGTAAACTGAATGTTTCAAATGTCTTGCCTTGCTTGAAAGCATCTCTGGTAAGTCTCAGGTAGCATCACTGACTCAGGAAGGTCAGTTCTTAGCCATGAAAGCTGGCCAGTCACTCTGTCTTAGCACAGCCCACCTCACAGGGTCATTGTGGGGATAATAGGAGGCAGAGTATTAATTAACTTTGCTAAGATAGATGATAGATCAGGGGTGGGCAAACTACGGCCCGGGAGCCACATCAGGCCCGTTGGTCTGTCCAATGCAGCCCGCCCCTGAAAAAAAATCACTGCCATTGGTCTGTCCAATCCGGCCCGCCCCTGAAAAAAAATCGCTGGGTGTGGCGTATTGCCCTGTGCCACGTGGCCCCCAAAGCTGCAAAACAGTGCGGAGCGATCTAGGGGTAGGAAAGAAAAGAAATTTGCAAAGGCCTCGGCTGGGAGTTCGAAATCACCTTCGAGTGCGACCTCTACAAAGGTGAGTCCCCGCCGATCCCCCTTTTTTTTCCGGGGCTTCCAGGCTTAAACTTTGCAAAGGCAAAGTTTGCAGGCTGGAGTGTCTTCCCGCCGAGGAGCGGGAAGGGTTCCGCCCGGCGGGCGGGCGGGCTGCTTAAACTTTGCTCAGGCGGCACTTTAAAAGCCTGCTCCCAGCACCTGAGCAACTTCCCAGCAACTTTCGGCTTCCTTTTAACTCGCGGGCGCTCGCGCCTGGCCCCGAGCCGCGCGGCAGAGGGGAAGCCCGGCGGGCGGGCGAGCTGCTTGGAGGAGGCGACCTGGCGATGCTCCGGCAGCAGCAACAGGCAGTTTCGCCCGGGCTCCGCTCAGGTGTCTGGCTGGGGCTGTGAGGAGTTGCTACCGCCGGCGCAGCTCCGTGCGGCTCCAGTCCCGCGTTGCCTTGGGAAGGAAAAGGCAAAACCAGGAGCCGCTGAGCCTGAGCCTCCGGTGCCGCTGCTCCCGTTGCAAAGCACTGCCGCGGCTCTTCCTTTTTGCCTTTCCCTTCCCGAGGCAACGCGGGACTGGAGCCGCGCGGAGCCGCGCCGGTGGTAGCAACTCCTGACTCAGGGGGCCTCCGAGGGGAGGGGAAGGAGGAGAAGGGGGGGAAGGGGGGGGCGATTCCCAAAAAATCTTGTGCTGACCCAGCCCGTCTGTCAAATTTTAAAAGTCAATGCGGCCCCCGAGCCAAAATGTTTGCCCACCCCTGTGATAGATAGATGATAGATAGATAGATAGATAGATGATAGATAGATAGATAGATAGATAGATAGATAGATAGATAGATAGATGTTTTTTTTCAGATTGCAAGAATTCATCCTTCTCATTTCCTATAGTTACCTCATCATTCCTTCAGAGATGGAAATGGCCATTCAATCTTCCCCAAAGAGCACATATAAAGATGGAGAAGAAATGGAGACAGTTCTATCAGTAGAAACCCAGTAGAGTTCTGTGATGACCTGGGGCATGGCACAAAGGCAACACAGTCACATAAGTAAGAAGAGTTCCTTTAATACCTCCAATTTTGCTCCCAATGTCCAGGTTATCTTCGGCTGGAGAAAAAAATTCTCCCAAGAACAGTCTTTAAGTGGAGGAAATTCAGTCCGAAAACAAAGTACATACAAATAAAAATCCACACAAACCACGCTGCAGTAATTAACTTGACAGGGCAGGAGAAGGTATCGCAGACTTGAAAGGCCAGCAAAACACACACAGTTGGGAAGACGCCAGGAACCCAGACAAGCCTTGACAATACCAGATAATTTACAATTTGCTCTCAACAGAGCAACTCCCCTTTTTAAACACTGTGTTCCCAGCTGCAGCTAATGAAGGGAATCAGAGCCCTTTCCTCCCCTGTAAGCCACACAACTCACGTTGCTCCCTTCTCTGTTCCTCCCTGCATGCCCTAGAATGAAGAGGGGGTGGGCCTGGGTCTTCCTCCAAATTCCCTCTGCCTTGCTCTACCTCTCTCCTGCTCTGCCCAGCCGGACTTTGCCCTTCCCCAGTTTCTTCCACAGCCAACGGAGCCACATTCCCACTCGGAATCAGATTCTGACAAGGGCATGACAAGTTAACTCAATGACTTTTCTTCATTTAAGCTACAGGAAGGCCTAGAGGAACATTGTCCATGGGGTCACGGTGGGTCAGACACGACTTCACAACTAACAACAACAACAACCACCTCACACTAATCGACTTCCAATTCAGCAAGTTGCCCAACTCCACAAGTACCAGCTGATTAAATAATTGTTGCTTTCCTGCAACAGGGCCATTATCTGCAAATCTCAGTGCTGTCTGGCAATGCAGAACATGGCTACAAACTCTCAAGATACTTATCCAACTCAAGATCAGTTGCTGGCTAAAGCTTGTATGACAACAGCACAGTGGGATAAAGTTATTTCATCAAACAGAGTACCCAAATCTCATTTTCTACTCTAATGGAATAGAACTAGAACAGATTGTTAAATTTAAATAGCCTTGTTAGTACTTAGGTTAAGTCAGCCGTGGCTAGTTTTAAAGATCCGTGCCACCCTGTCACTTCCTGCTTATATGGGAAGTGATAAAAACTCTGAAACACTTGTACCAGCACGTGCTTTATGACAGTCCTGCTCACTAGCTGGCTTATTGCTTGCAGAGGATCATTGATTTGTCATGCTGGAACAATTACTTTAAAACAAATACCTCTTCACTTGACAAGAAAATATTAAAGTGGCTTCAGTAAGTGGGCACTGTAAAGCAGATGGAAATCCACTCTTGTGATTTAAAAAAAGTTGTTTTAACTGTGAACAGCTTAATTATATATTTTCATTTTTTAAAAAAAAAAACTATTTTAACTGTTAATTTCAAAAGACATTTGACCTTCACATATTTTCTTAGACTTAGAATAACTTTATTGTCACTTTAAATGTATACTAAATGGCATACATTAAAATGAAATTTTGTTGTATACAGCTCTCACCACCTCCAATATACCCTACACAAACATGACAAAAAAAATATTTGCATATCCCCACTTACCCACATATTTTCTATGACACAGAGAAACAACACAGTCTAGTTTGGATGTATACATGTACATGGCGAGAAAAAGAAATCTTGCGAGTGTACCAGACGGTAAATGTACACTAATCAACATACATTAAAATGAAATTTCATTGCATACAGCTCTCAAAGGGTCACCACCTGCAATATACACTACATAGACATGACAAAAAATGTTTTTCATATACCCACCTATATTCTATGACACAGAGAAACAACAGTCTAGTTTGGATGTATACATGTACATGGCGAGAAAAACAAATCTTGTGAGTTTACCAGACGGAATGGTATAGGGAACAAAGCTGTTACAGAATCTGGGAGTCCTGCTAGAAATACTTCGAGCAACAAAAATTGGTGTGTGGGATCTGTTAATTAGACCACATGTGACTTAACATCCTTCACATGTCAGTATTCAGCGGTTGATGATAAACAAGACCTAATCCTTCAAACCAATAAATCAAGATCCATGTATTTTTCAACAAACATTTCAAAG